CTGAGGCGCGACTATGCGACCAACCTCACAAACAAATATGCCGAACATACAGCTGGTTGCACTTGAACATACCAAATAGCAACCAAAAACAATGTCGCCAAAAACGTCATCAAATTTCGATGAACGATAGAGCGAACATAAAAGCCTTCTTCCTCCAAGCACGAACAAATCAAACCAAATTTAACAAAGTGACAAACCAATCTCACCAACAAGAATGAGCCCTGCAGTCATTGATTTACCCTAACAAAGGTAATTGACTGCTTCAAACATTAAGTCCATGCTGCTGGACAATAGAATTGCCGGATGGAACATAAGACGACAACCAGAATTGCCGGACAGAGACGGTAGCAGCGGTGGATCTGAAACAAGAAGTTGCGGTGGATCTGAATCGTGTAGCAGCTAGACTAGTCAGACAAACTTCGCCGGAGATAGATGACAAGGATTCCCCGTCTGACCTGCGACTAGTGACGGTCAGAAGTCGGTGGCCTCTTGACGATGACTAAATATTTTGAAGGCAATAAATAATTTTGATAAGAACAAGGATAGTTTCGTAAAGCTAGAAAGTAGCTTGACGATTGGTAAAGAGAAAAAAAATGGTGACGCCGCCGTCGCCGGACCAATCACCGGCGACTGCGGAAGCAACAAATTAGAACAAACTAGGGTTTAGGTTCCCAGGTTGGCTCCGATACCATGTAGAAATATAATTAGAACTAAACTTGAATCATTTGATTACACATAGATCTGCTATTTATAAACAGCTACAAGACCATGACCTAATTACGAGCCCAACAAGAATGAGCCCGTTAACGACAAACCCTACTACATTCCTTAACAGTTTTTAAGAAATTATTTTTTACTTTTAAACTAAGATTTTCTTTTGTCAGTGGGGGCAAACTTATTTTTTATCGGGGTCGTTCTTTTTATCCTTTACAAAAAAAATATTTTAAAATTGTATATTACGGAGTAAAAAAATTGACTGGGGCGACTGCCCCGTATTCCTACATGTAGATCCATTAAGTTTTCCTCATTCCTCATTAAATTTTCCCATCCATTAAGCCGTTAAGTTCTGTTCAAATCACAATGAGAAGTAGACTTATGCCATCCCAAATGGTGTAATTTCATGATGACATCATTTCAATTGAGTCACGTACGATGTTTTTTGTTCGTAAAATGGACAGTTTGTAACAAACGAAATGAACGAACGAGTCTCTAATCTTTTTTTTTGTCACCAAATCTAATAATAGCTTGTGACGAATGATCGGTTCAAGAGCTCGGAACACAGAGTGGTGGCTAACAAGCGTGGCCCGAGGATATCAGTGGCATGTTTCTTTACCACATACTTGTTGTCATTGCCGCGACTATATGGACCGATTAAGGAGCTGGTCTCCGAGGAGAATCCACCAAAGTACAGGGAAATCACAGTTAAGGAGTATATATCACATTTTGAAGCAAAGGGTCTTGATGGAACTTCTGCCCTGCTGCATTTCAGGCTCTAAATCTCGCATCCCCACCTTGTTATAATGCCATATATATATATATATATATATATATATATATATATATATATATATATATATATATATATATATATATATATATATATATATATATTCGAGCATAATGATGTGAACTTCATTCCTAAAAAATAAACTTCTCAAAAATCATCTCAATATTTCCATTTCTCATTCTGCGTCCAGCTCTCCACGTCAATGGCAATGGTGTTTCCTTCTTTACATTATATATATAAAGTGCATATACACACACACAGATATATATATATATATATATATAGTAGTCATCCAGCACGTGTACATATACACATAATATACAATAGAGGCTTAGATTTTTTAATCCAGTTTTAAGTTTGAGGCAATATAAAAAATCAAATCGTCATGGCTGCAACAACGGGGGTTAATTCCGTTATGCCACACCAAGATACGTTCATTTTCTTCGATGCCTCAAACATTAAAAGCCTATGAATCACAGAATCAATTTTCAATGTCATATATCATCACACACATATCGATACATATATAAAAAGGAATATATATTTTTTAATATGTAATATCTAAGAGTACACAAAATAAGGTTTGAAAAAATTTCAGAGATATCATTTTTATATAGTAATATTTATATCAACATGCCACAATTTAAAAAATAATTAGTGCAAGTACTACTCCAAAAAGAATAAAAATATGATTAACAGGTTAGGAGATTAATAAATTATTCTATAATTAAATAAACACAAGGGAAATTGTGACGAAGATTAAGAAATAATTCTATAATTAAATAAAGGATGTTTTGATTTACAAATATATGTATTTGTGTATTATAATTAAAAACATCTCGATAGGTAAAATTTATACAGGCTTAGATTTTTTCAAATATGAATATATTTATTAGTGTGTGTGTGTGTGTATGTATACACACACACACACACACACACACACATATCGACGAAATGAATCGGCGATTATGAAATTCAAATACTTTAATAATCAAAGAGTACCAGAGAGAGAGAGAGAAAGTTATGGATGAGCGACAAAAGAGATGAAGCGGAAGAGGAGGGATCGAGAAAGAGAGGGTCGTAGCGGCGGTAATGAAGAGTAGGGATTCATTTATATCCTTGGGCCGAGAATATATTTGAGCCGGACGATTCATTGGGCTTAGGACTAATACAGTTTCTATAAAATATATAAAATACTATATTGTTCCAATTTTATTTTTTTCAGATCAAAGTTTACCAAGCTTGATGGAAAATAGTTAAATATGGACATATAGACAAATACTCAAGAAAGGGGTAGTATATTTATTGAATTAATATTTACTAGGTCGGATAAACATGGATGAATTATATGAACATAATTTACTCCCTCAAACTATAATTAAATTACATGTGAACTTTTCTCACAGTTAAACTTCAATCACTTTTTTATTTGATTTTCTAATTTGATTCAATAATATAGTCATTTCCCCATTACTTTTAGAATATGTAATTTTTGTATTTTAATTCTACATATTTTTTCATATTAAATGATTTGAAATGAAATTGAGTAAAATGTTGAAAACCAAAAACGGTGATTCAAATATTTATTAAGTTATGATCTATCATATAAATTCATTTTT